TTGACTCACTACTTGGGATGATTAGACCGACTCGCGATCCGACTCACCGAGTCTGAGAACAACTCGTCGAGTTCCACGAGCAGATCTCCTACTCGCTTCCAAATCCTCACCAGAGCATCCTTCATGAGGATTTGGGTTTCTAGGACTATTACTACACGTTAAATTGCTAATTCCGCGTGCAGCTACGAAGGGTTGGACCTTCTACACTTAAACCCCTCTTAACTTAGTAACAGTTCATATGACTCGCCGAGTATGAAGAACAACTAGTCGAGTTCCAGGAAATCTTCATAGTACTCGCCGAGTTGTTCATCCAACTCGTTGAGTCTAAGACCATCTTCATAGAACTCGCCGAGTTCACTTTGGAACTCGCTGAGTCCCTTCAGCCGTTCTCTCATACAGACCAAATATGAGACATGCAACGGTTCCAAACCATAGATCTAGGCTCCTAGGGCATGCTTATCACGTAAAGTTACAAACTTTACGTGCATGCATCGCCCTATGAGCTCAAAAAGGCAATTCCAAGCTCTTTATGAGGTCACACACTCAATAGGGACCTTAATCACTTCAACCACAGGGACTTTACACTTCTAAGATGTCCATAAGGTCCAGATTTGAAGTCCTTTCAGAACATAGAGCATAAACACATGGAGTTTGAGGTTTTAGGGCTTGAAAACCACCAATTAGGGACAAAAAGGGGATCTAATGAACTACTGATCAAGGTAGGGAATTTTCTACCTGAATGGAAGCTTCTCACAGTGTAGAATCCGAATCTACTTCCCCTCCTTTCACTCTTCAACCTCCTCCTCCTTCTTCTAAGCTCCAACCTCCTTCACAAAGCCAAGATCACTCACAATAATAATATGGGGGATAGGGTTTCGCTCTACAGCTCCTTGGAAGTGTTAGGGACAAGGGAGGCCAAGTTAGAGCGTTTAAATAGGGTGCAAACACACGGGTTAGGGTTTTACTCGTCAAGCACGGACTCGCCGAGTCTGGGACCCGACTCGCCGAGTCCCTCGCTTAAGTCCCATGCCAAAATCGCTCCTACTCGGCGAGTCGGGCCTTTAAGTCGCCGAGTCCAAGGCAACAATGGACCATGCTACTATCGAATTGTTCTAGTGAAGGCAACCCGAAATGGACCATGCTACTATCGGGTCAAGTACATACCAATTATAGTTATGGGATTAGACACCTAATCCAACAGTTTCCCACTTGGATAAGTCTAATAACTATAATTACCAATGTAACTTAAAATCCGATTAGCAATCGTAGCTCTCAAAAAGCCATTGTCGAACTTTGACACGTCCATTAGATATGTGATCATATAATCATCTGTTCTACAAGATATCATGCAGAAAAATACATGGAACATAGTCATACTTATTGTCATGCAGTTTGGTTCCCGATTTCCGATTTGTCTGACATAGAACATAATTGAACACATCAATTTAGTTCTGACTGGGCCTGACACATAAGTCAAAAGAAAATCATCGAGGGGCCCAAGATATAGCTTTTAATCCTCTTAGGATAAAAGGAACAAATAAACTTCGACTTATATGCTTGTACTAACTATTTGTTGAATCATACACAACATCACATTTTATAACATCAAGTTACCGATGCGTTTTTGTACTATCAATGTACAACCAAGAAATAATCGCCAAGTTGTATATCTTGGTTTGAAGATTATACGATATTATCTTCTCATAATCACCGGTGATAAATTCCATGAAGTGATATGTGAGTGTGGGTTTAGTCCAATACTCAAATCTTATTTCAAGAGCACTCATGAATGTTTGTAGCAATCTTTTTCTATGTCTAACAAATTAAACAATCATACAAAAACCCATTCATGATAGTCTTCTTTCATAACCTACCTCCAAAGTATGATTGACTATGGATAGTTTGAATAATCTTATTATTCTGGAAGTCAAAACATGCAAAATGAAACAATAGTAAATAATTGACACAAGACAGTAGCATTACTTATAAATAAAAAACACCTTTTATTCAATCATTAAATGTCAATTACATTTTAACTATTACAAGTTTCTAAAATTCTATCTAATCATTAAAACTAATATCGTCCTTGAGTCCGATTCTTCTAGCGTACTGCAAGTGCTAGACCCTACTTAGTCCCTTTGTAAGGGGATCTGTTGGGTTCTCTCTGACGATACCCCCTTCATTATGAGGAGACTTTCTTATACTCCATGTCTTATGAAGTGATATTTTCTATCGATGTGCATGGATCTTCCATGATTCCTTGGTTTCTTAGCTAAGGCTACCGCACCCTCGTTGTTACAGGAAATCTCCATAGGCTCCTTTACAGCCAGTACAACTCCAAGGTCTCCGATGAAGTTCTTTAGCCATATCGCCTCCTTCGATGCTTCACTTGCTGCTATATACTCTGATCTGCATGTTGAATCAGCTATAGTCTCATGTTTGGAACTTTTCCAAGTTACTACTCCATTTAGGGTAAGTATCCAACCCGACTGAGAGCGGACATTATCTCTGTCGGTCTGAAAGCTGGTGTCACTATACCCTGTCACTCTTAAATCATCACTCCCACTAAGGGTAAGGACCTAGTCCTTAGTCCATCGCAGGTACTTTAGAATGTTTATTATCGTAGTTGAGTGAGCTTTACCAAGATTCCCTTGATATCTGCTAACAATGCTTAGAGCAAAGGCTACATCAGGGCGAGTACATGTCATAGCATACATGATCGAGCCAACAGCAGAATCATATGGTATTCGACTCATTTCTGCTATCTCAGTATCTGTACTTGGAATCTAAGTCTTACTCAGTTTGGTATTGCTCTGGATAGGTAAGTCTCATTTCTTGGACTCCTCCATGCTGAAACGTTTCAACACCTTATACAAGTAGGTAGTTTTACTAAGTCCTATTAGTCTTTTACTCCAGTTTCTCAATATCATTATCCCTAGAATATAAGCAGCTTCTCCGAGATCCTTCATAGCGAAACACCTCCCAAGCCAGGACTTAACCTTCTGCAAGGTTGGGATGTTATTTCCTATGAGCAGTATGTAATCCACATTAGGGTTGTGCATGGGTCCGTTTGGGTCGATTTTGGACCCAAACCCAACCCAACCCTACAATGGTTGATTTCTGGTTTTTAGAACCCAATAGGATCGGTTTCTGGTCGGTTCGGTTTCTTGGGTTCTGTTATCGGTTTGGGCGGTTTCTCGGTTTCTTGGGTTCAACCCATACACTTACAGGTTTTGGCTTTAAACCCATTTTCCAAAAATGGAGTAATAAGTTAAATAATTCAAAAAACACCAAATTGAAGTTAAATACTTCAAAAAACATGAGTTTTACAACCAAAAGACAATTAAAGTAAAACACGAAGTTCAGAATTGTCGATTAGATGATTACAACCAAACACACAATCAAACTAAAATGCAAAGTCCGGAATTGTTGATTAGACTATTACAACCAAACACACAATCAAACTAAAACACAAAGTCTGGAATAGTCAAATAGTCGATTACAACCAAAACATGCAAACACGAATCTTCAATCCACATCCATGTAAATCTCTTCACCAATTCCTAATTCATCTACAAACCAAAAAACATTAGTATTGATCAATGATTATTGATTAATAAACTTGTGTAAAAGTATAAAATTATAATTATTGAGTTATAAACCTTTAAAATTCAAGTAAAATCCTCATCCATGCAACTCCTTTGACCACGCCCCAATTCATCTACAAACACAAAACAATAGTATGTAATTATAAATATATATAATTATAAACTTATAATTATGTAAAAAATAGTAAAATATTTATCGGTTTCTATTGGCACAAACTTCTCACGCGTCTCTTCCATATATAAAGTCATCATATTTTTAAACTGGATATTAACTAGGGTGTCCCGTATCCAATCTTGTGCGCAAATCAAAGCATCGGTAGTCACATGTGTAAGGGAGCTTCTACATTCATCAATCACCCTCCCGCCAGTACTGAACGCCAACTTTGATGCAACTGTAGAGATTAGCACTCCTAAAACAAGTTTCACCACTTCAGAAAGTACAGGAAACTTTGTTGAATTAGATTTCCACCACCCCAAAATCTGGAAATCCTCCGCCTGCTTTTCCATCCAATCTTATAAATAAATCTCAAACTCTATTTTATTAACCCCATGCCCACGTTGTTCCATAAACCTTTCAAAATCGTCTTCCATATCAACTCCATGAAAATCAAAATAACTAGGTGTAGAAGACAATGCAATCGTTGTCTTTTCACATCTTTCTCTCCCCATATTGTTCTTGAAGTGTTGAAACAAGTCCTCTAGTGTTTTGTTGACATGCTCCAGAATTGTTTTGTTTAGGTAGAATTCTTACCATAAATCAACTCCAAGCAATACTCCAAATAACATATCTTGTTGCAAGGATCTAAAATGACAGCAACATGAAGCAAGAAGTTCATGTTCTCAATGATGTCCCAATATTTGTCGTATTTTTCTTTCATCAACTTTGCCATCTTTTTCTTTTTCGCGTGTATGCTTGAACACATTCTAGTTATGCTTGCTTGCATTCTCACTAGTTCCTTAAAAAAAATATTTGCTGTCACATACTTGGACCCATATATTTTTTTTGTGACATTGTAAAAGATCCTCAAATAGTCGATAAAATACCTACCAAGGCAATTAAACAATATCAGATTTCACAATTGAAGTAAAAATATATATAAAAGATATACCTAGCAACCTCCCAATCGTCGGCATCGGGAGTCCCCACAACTTTATCATTTCTTCTTCTTTTTCTCGTAGTCACTTCACCATCATCAACCTCACTTCTGCAAAAAGTTTTAAAACCACTATCAATCACACGAAGCCTATAATATAAAATAAAACCCAATAAAAACATTAGTATGTAAATTACAAAAAAAAAAAATTAATATATCATACTTAATAGTGTATAAAATACCTATCAAACGCCGCCTCATACTTTTCTGCCGTCTCTAACATCAAAAATGTAGAATTCTATCTTGTGTCAACATCAAGAGATGGTTTCTTACTACAATTAATCTTCACTTTCTCAACACATTCTAGGAATGTAGCGAACCTAGCACCCGATGAGCTCACATACTTTATAGCATTTTGGATCTTTGTGATGGAACTAAAATGTTCTTTTAACCCGTCCCTAACCACAAGATTTATGATATGAGCACAACACCTCAAATGCAAGTATTTGCAATCCAAAAAAGCATGGTGTCCCCTAAGCATGGTCACTAGATACCTAATTGCCCCATCATTTAAGGAAGCATTATCCAAAGTCACCGTAAACACCTTCTCAATTCCCTAATTCTGTAAGCATTTGTAAATGAGTTTTCCTATGGTTACACCTTTGTGATTTGCAATGGGTCAAAAGTTTGGAATTTTCTTTCTCAAAACACACGTCTCATCAACCCTATGTACCGTTAAACAACTATACTTAATGTTTTGGATGGATGTCCAAGTGCCAGTTGTAATGGAGACGGTTTGATTATTTAAAACATCCTTTCATTTATACATTTCTTCTTTGTATATCTGCAAACAATCCCTTGCGACAGTCCACCTTGAAGGCAATTTAAATAGAGGTTGCAAATCCCGTGAATATTCCCTAAATCCTTCATCTTCAACTATACTAAAAGGTTGATTGTCTTTAATACACATGCGGGCTAAGGAATTCCTACATTTCTCTGGGCTGAAGGAATGAACTTTCAAAGAAGTATCCCCCAAGTCTCCCAATTTTTTGAAACTCAACACAGATTGTTTTTTCGTATCACCAACTTTACCTTTAGGGTCGTAAACAAGAGATTTTGGACAATAGAGTCTTAAATGACATCCCATTGCACTCGTACCATTTTTCTTTGAATTTTCACACATTATTGTTGGACCATATAGGCATTTCACTTACTTAGCACCCTTTTTTATGGCCTCTAGATCAAAATGTTGCCATTCCCAAGATACTCTATGACCACCACCCTTATTATCTACAACTTCTTCATCATCTCCTTCATCAACATCAAGATCAACATCAACAGTTTGTGGAGCATCAAGATCAACCATTTGTGCATCTAGTTGAGACATTTCCATCTACATAGAAAAAAATGCAATCAACATCAACAGTTTCTGGCATTACCAAAAAAATTATGTTTTTAGGTCATACAGGAACTATATTTCAGCATCGGAATGACATAATTCATAATAAACAAGGAATATTTCAGCATTATAATTCATAAACAAATTCGAAAACCAAACCATCAACTTTGAGTTAACAAATTGAATATTATATACAAATTTATAGTAGTTGGAATAAGAAATTGAAATTAGTGTGTAATAATTTCATAAATTAAACCTGTGTAGAAGACTAAAAGAGTCGGCAGTTTCCTGCCATTCCAAAATCAGTGTACTACTCGGCTGTTTGGGGATGAACAAGTAATCGGTGCAACCAAGAAGTGAGAAACTGAAAAGCGAAAAGGGAGAAATTTGAAAAAAAAACTTGATAATTTGATAAGTGAGACGCGAGAAGGAACCATTGGAGGCGTAGCACACTAGCAGCTTTGGAAGGGTGGCGCCGATGGTTTGGGATCGGGGTTGAGCTCGTGGGAGCTCTTGCTACTGGAGCATTGCCTTGTCGTCTTCGATCGGGGGAGGGGAGATGAGCAATATTAAGAACAACGCTATGTGAGAAAGTGAGATCTGATCTCTGATTTCGATTTACAGATTACACCATTTAGGGTTGTAATATTAAATATTTTGTTTTTTTATATATACATGGTTCGGTTTCTTGGGTTTAGATATACGTCATTTTTACGGGTTTAGTGGGTCGGTTTCTATGTAAAAACCGAAACCGAACCTGATTTTTGGGTTTTTAAAAAATTTAAACCCTAACCGTTGGTTTTGCTTCAGTTTCGGTTTTTCCAGATTTGATTTTAATCGGTTTCTCGATTTCTTGGTTTGGTTTTGCTCACACCTAATCCACATATAGCACCAGAAATCTAACTATACTCCCACTAGGTTTGACATATACACAAGACTTATACTCACTTCTTGAGAAACCGAAATCTTTAACTTTCTCATCAAAACAAAGATTCCATCTGCGAGATGCTTGCTTTAATCCATAAATGGATTTCTCAAGCTTGCACACTCTATTAGGGTACTTTGCATCGACAAAACCCTCTGGCTGATCCATGTAAACATCCTTATCCAACTTCCCATTAAGGAAAGCGATTTTTGACATCCATTTGTCATATTTCATAATCATGAAATGCTACTATGGCTAGCATAACCCTTATAGATTTAATTTTTGCTACTGGTGAGAAGGTCTCGTCATGGTCAACTCTAGGAGTTTGAGTAAATCCCTTCGCAACCAATCGTACCTTATAAGTGTGTACTTTCCCATCCATGTCGGTCTTCTTCTTGAAGATCCATTTGCACCCAATTTTCTTACGGCCTGGTACATAGTCAACAAAGTTCCAAACTTGATTGTCATACATGGACTGAATCTCGTTGTCCATTGCCTCTTTCCATTTAGCAAACTCAGGGCCTGCCATGGCTTCCTTGTAGTTGTTAGGTTCATCCAAATTTACCAGTGTGCTATCACTGATAAATGTATCACCTTCAGTAGTAATATGGAAACCATAAAACTCAGGTGCATTCCTAACTCTACCGGAGCGCCTCAGAGGTAAGGACTCGTCAATTGGTTCAATAGGAGTTTCCTCCTTGGGTTAGTGCTAGTGTTTGAGGTTCTTTCATCACTTAACTATTGAAGCTCTTCAAGGTCAATTTACCTTTCACTGTCCTCTTGGCATATGAGTTCTCTCTCGCGAAAGACTCCTCTCGTCGCAATGAAGACAACATTGTCACTCGGTCTATAGAAGAGATATCCAAAGGATTTCTATAGGTAGCTGATGAAAATACATCGATCACTGTGAGGTTCGAGCTTATCGTGGGTTTCTCGTCTTACGAAAGCCTCGCAACCCCAAACCTTGATGTGGTCTAACGAGGGAACCTTCCCTATCTACATCTCGTAAGGTGTTATGGAAACCTATTTAGTTGGTAATACATTAAGGATATGAGCGGCAGTCTTAAGGTATACCCCCAGAATGAGATAGGTAATGAAGCTCGACTCATCATAGAATAAATCATCTCTAGAAAGGTTCGATTGCCCCTCTCAGCTACATCATTAAGCTATGGTGTTTTAGGCGGCGTTAATTGTGAAACAATTCCATATTCCTTAAGATAGTTGTGGAAATCGATACTAAGATACTCTCCTCCTCGATCAGATTGAAACATCTTTATCTTCCTGCCCAATTGATTCTTCGCTTCTTGCTTAAACTCTTTGAACTTTTCAAAGGTTTCTGACTTATTCTTGATTAAGTAGATATAGTCGTATCTGCTGTAATCATCAGTAAAATGTCACATAAAAGCGGTTAGCATCCCTTGTGGCGGTTTTGAAGGGTCCACACACATCGATGTGTATGAGATCCAACAGACCCTCACCTCTCGCACAAGTGCCATTGAAGGGTGACTTTATCATATTTCCAAGTAAACAAGATTCACAAGTATCATCTGACTTTATGTCGAATGAGTCCAACCCTCCATCCTTTTGGAGTTGGGCTATACGCTTCTTGTTAACATATCCAAGACGACAATGCCATAAGCATGCTTTATCCAAATAATTAGATGAATCAATATGCAATACATTATATCCTAAGTTATCTACAACAATCGCAGTTTCATATATGTCATTTCAAGGTAATGCTTCAAAATAAAACACACCATTAAAATAAGCATTTATTGAACCAATTTCATTATTAAAAGAAAAGGTAAAACCTTGTTTATGCAAACTGTGAAAAGAAATAATATTCTCGCCATATCAGATGAGTAGCATCAATTATTCAAATCTAATTTTAACCCACTACTAAGCAATAAGGAATAAACTCCAATCTTGGTGGTAGGCAACTTTTTCCTATTCCCCATGCTTAAGTTCATCTTCGCGTGCTCCATATCAAGGACCCAAGAATTAGCATCTGATGAGATATTAGATAGAATAGTATAAATACCTAAAAAGGATGGTTTGGTGCTCCCATCCTTTATGTCTTGCAAGTATTTTGGGCAACTTCATCTCCAATGCCCCTTTTTCATGGCAATGGAAGCGCTCGACTTCCTTTAGATTGGAAGAGGGTGTGACAGAACCACCTTTGGTTCCACTCGAAGAGGATCCAACATGGGAATTTCCCTTATGACTCTTGGAAGAAGTCTTCCTCTCCTTTCCCCTTTCCATGTCCAATTGCCAGGACAGTGGCAGTTGCAGTAGGAGTAGGTACAATAGATTTTCCTTTCAAACTGCTTTCAGCAGTTCTCAAGAGACCTTGAAGCTTACTTAGAGTGACCTCCTCCTTGTTCATATGATAAGACATACAAAACTGGTCATAACAAGGAGGTAAAGAGTGTAGAATAATATCTATGGCCAACTCTTCAACGAAGTTGACATCCAACTTCAGCAAGCGGTCCACAAATCTTTGCATCTTTTGCAAGTGGGTCTTGATGGACTCTCCATCCTTCATTTTGGTCGTGATCATGTATGCAATGATCTCATACCTCTCCTACCGAGCACTTTGATGGTACCTTTCCATCAAGTCCTAGTGTATTTTATAAGGCCAAAAGTCCTTATATGACTTTTGGAGCTCAACCGTAGATTCATCAATCTCCTTAAGCACTTTATCAAGGACGTATTCTTTGTCCTCATAACAAATAACCATTTGGATGTTTCGAATCCAATCATTGAAATTCGATCCATCGAAGATAACCCTCCCATATAAGTTCATGAGGGAGAATGTGATGGAAGGGATTGGGTTGGAAGCATTATTTGAAGTAAACATCTGAAAAGAAAGACAAAGTTTAGATTAGATAATGATCCTTAATATAACACCTAAAATGGAATATTAAGGCTAGGATACAACACAATATTCTACAATTCAGAAGAGGGATGTCGTAATCCAATTATAAAATATTTGAAGGTAGGTAAATGACGATTTACCAATTTCCACCATGAAAATGAAATTAAAGATTAGGTTTTAAATGAATTGAAATTCCTAGATTCTGTTGAGATTCATTGAACTCTTCAATGACATGTTTAAATCTCGATTATGCCCTTCAAGTTTGTGATTGGGATAATGAGGATCACAAACTGAGGATCACAAACAAAGTGTGAATAACCATGCAAATTAGCTTGGTACTCTAGATGTTACGAATCACCCAATCAATGTGCCAGTTAACCACACACGATCCATTGATCCATGATTAACACCAAGCTATCCTTGCCACAAATTTTCAGTCCCAAATTAGTGTGTCGGTTAACCACACACGCTCCACTAACGACTTAACAAGGTGCAAAGTGCACTTTCATGGAATATCACCATTTTCACATTTTTCCTAAAGTAACTAAAACTGGGAATTTATAAAAGTTTAGTTACTAAAATAATTTTCATTATACTTATAAATGAGAATTAATGTCCTATCCTACCCGTTCGACTAACGACCCTCCACCGGTCAAGCAAGCGGTGGGTGAGAGTGGACACCCATTAAACCACCTTTTTATAGGTAGTAACCTTATACCCCCCTTATAGACCGACTTCGTGAATGAGGCCTACTAACAGTAAGACTGGCTTGTCTTATACATACATATATATATATATATATATATATATATATATATATATATATATAAGTATTAAACTTTAGTATTATAATAGTATAAGGGTTGAATTTTAAACTTTTCAAAACTCTAGGGTTTGGAATTAAAGTTTCATTAATGTAACTTTTCAAGTTCCAAAACTTGAGGGTAAGTTTTGTAACTTGTCAAAAACTTTTGACATTCATAACTTATGAACTTTTATTTTCCATGAATGAGACCTTTCAAATTCCAAACTTGAGGACAAGTTATGAAACCTTTGAAGACTCTTTAAATTCTATAACTTACATTAGTTAATGGTTTCATAAATAAAGACTTTTCATATTCCATAACTTGAGGACAGGTTGTAGAACTTCTTCAAGAACACATATAGATCAAATTAACTAATCTA